TCATGTGCTATCGGACAGTTTATTTTTGCTCCTCGTATTATGTTGAATTATATCTGTTCGTTAGCGAGCCCGCTTAGTGATTTCCATTTTTACATTGCTACAAATTATAGGTCACTAGCCCACATATTACTTATGAACAAGTTATTTATCTATGCCTTCTTCATTTCCTTTTTTTCCGTATTATACCAAAGCCGACGTAAAGGGTGGTAAGAATAAACACCACAATAATCGCAGAGCAATAGTCTTAACACTCGATGTCTCTAGATGTAACACATCATTGCAGACTGTCATAATAAACAGAATAAAATGCGTTTCAATGGTCACTGAATATATCTATAGAATCATGCATGTGTGACCGTGCATCAATTATACATGTTTCATTAACTCAACGCCAGGATCGGGTGTTGAGCGACCCCGAAGGAAACTAAATCTTTTATGAGACATTAAGCAGCTGTACAAATAATGGATTAATTACTGGGACGGAAAATCTATTAAGATTAGCAGTTTTTTTAATGTTTATGACTGTCTTGGCTGTGCTGTGAGACGAAATTTTAAATTGGTAAGGCGAATATTTTTATATTGCTAAATTTACTTTATACACGAATATAAAAATTTAGTTAAAATTAAAAATTTCATCATATAATCATCGAATATTACGAAGTTTATTCTTCCAGTTTCGCTATTTGCAATATTCAAGTCGTTACTACATCCGGGGTGCACAAAAGGACCTCCGTTCCTGTAGACTGGCGCACACTGGACAACAATCGGCGAATACCTTACAGCGATTGACGAATCCTTCCACCACGATGGCAAGCATTGCAGTGTATACCGTAGACACGATAAGACGACTACATCCGCGATCTTTTTAATTCCATAATTATTATTTATTTACATCACAACTTCACAGCTGTAGCTGCAACACAAATACGCTTCACCTGTTTCAAATATCATATATTATATCATCACGCCTGTCTCCCACTGGGGTAGGCGGAGTCTATGGACCTCCACCTGCTACGCTTCTGACAAGTTTCCTACGCCTCTTCCACTCCCATCAATATAATTTTCAAATATTTAACAAAATCATTACAATTGTCCATACAATGGCACTATATAACACTATTGTTAAAGGTCCTTCTGCCGTTAACTTCATAGTTGAAAAGTGATATTAATTAACCTACCACTTAGAATACCGTCTTTAGTAAATTAATATTAACGTCTAAAAATTGCAATCTATTTTATCCGTATCGCTTAATTAGCCTGTTGCCTCACACGAATTGCTGCTCAGTAATTTTTAAAGAGCGATTGCATATAAAGTGAATGCTGGAATCATTAGTTAATGAATGAGCTTTCATTACTAAAAGACGGGCGAACAGCTCTGAACTACCACGTTAACACCCCCAAAATAATAAGCATTATACAGTATGTCCGGTCAATGTCGATGACGGACAAGTTGGTTAGTGAGGGTGATTTAGCGGCTCAAATGTCACGCGATGTGAACACAGGAAAAGAACACGTGCGACTGCGCAGGTCGCAATCATAACAACTTTTCCTTTTCACTTTCCCCGAGATTTGCCGTACGCGCAAGCGCCCGGAGCCCGGCGCCCCGCCCGCTCCACCGCCGTGCGGGATCACAGTCACCCAGATCGGAAAGGACGACGCCATTTCCCGACAGTCGTGAAAGCAACTGTATTTGTGTAAACAAGGAGTCCGATGTGAGTCTCGGATCCAAGAGAGAAACAACTTGATCTAAGAAGGATACCTGCTGGTCAGACCTAGATTTGTTTAATCAGGAGACAGTGGTCGTTCTGATTATGCTTGGGCGGCGCACTAATGATAATTATCAATGTAACAACTTTGCCCAAATTAAAACGAAAAATGTTGACTATAGAAGTGTCGCTAAGAACGCAACTGATTTACACTTATATACACAATAATAACTAAATAACACGATTGAATCAACATTTCGTGATTTTGTTGTAGCATAATGTAGAGTAATTAGTGGTTTCTATGGGGTAGTAAGATAAGAGGTGGCAATATAAATTCGACATCATTTTATACCAAAATATTTGAGTTGTTTCTACACTTTTCTGGAGCCTCGATACGACGCTCTGACAATCGAGCGCGTCGTTGCGTATAAGATGGGCCTCAAACGAAAGTAGTCAAGGAAAGTTACTCAACAATGTCGAATTTGTCCAATATCGCAATAGTCAATTTTTTTTATGTCAAATAACGAGAGGAAAGACTCGTGCGCCTGATGGTAAGCTACACGCCTGCCCATAACAGTTGCAGTGCCACTCAGAGCTTTAAATCGCAAAGATCGGAAGGGCACTGCCACTGCGTACGTCATCCTGAGACAAGTTGACAAGACCCATGTGCTGTAATGCCACCAAAAGTTGTCTAAGATGACCCCCAAAAAATCTTTTCGTATTTCCAAAACTTTACTGGACGAGTGTTTCTTCTGCGGTGACGGTATCAAAGGATACCATAAGATACCCATCTTACTTACTGGCACTGGGTAATATCATTTAATTTTCGAAAGGGTTAATTTTCCTTCCTTCTCGAATGCAGGCAATCTGTTGATAAACCGTCACTTTGAGTGTCCAGTATCACTGCTAAAATGCGATCTTCTTTCTATATAACATGTTAATTTCGTTGTTACCAGCCTTCACCCAGTAATTAAGGACTGCGGTGGCAGGCGTGAGGCACCGATGCGACGCGGCGCTTTATGTGGTACTCTGTTTGTTCAAACCGCCCGGCGCGGGGCGGGCCGGATTGCCGGGCCTAGGCGGACAATGGTTTTATGGTGCCGTTTTGATTATATTGCCTTGACATTAGTACAAATGACGATGTGGTAAAACCTATTAATACAAATTATTAGTACCTACGTAAGTAAAAAACACAATAGACCAAAAACGGCTTTACAATAATTTGTCTTGCCTTGTAATTACCTGCTCTTAAATCGGCGAGTAACGTCAGTGTTTCCGTCAGTTCAATTACTTGGCCCTTGAGTGGCACCCGGAAGCCGCGCGCACCCGTGCGACCCGCCTCACCCGCCTCACCCGCCATTCATCATACTCTATTTTGCTAGCTTTTTGTCTTCATCAACTACAATGGCTCATTCGGTAATGGTGTTATTTTTGTGCTATACAGACGAGTGGTGTTTTTGTTTGATTGCATTTATCATGCGTTCGCCGCGGCGGAGCTAATTCATAAGGTCATGCGAAACTCGGTAAATAAATATAGGTATTAAATTAACAAGCAGCAAATCAAATTATCGTTTAGAAACTTGGTTTAAGTTTATGCACTGTAAACAAGCTTCTGTCGACTTTGCACGGAGAAGGTTACAATTCAGCATGAATTGTTTGTTTGCGTTGATGCCTTGACAGCCATTAAAGCATGAGATGCAATGACTCGCAGAAGGATGTCACCATTGTGCGGAGAAGGGCGGCGGCTTCACGAGAGGCGGCTGCCAGTCACGGTTAACCTTTAGACGCAGAGAGCCTCCGACAAGTCACTAATGATCGCGATCGCGCTCTAACGATCTCTTGGTGTTTCTGTTGTGAACATTCGAATTGTAGAAAAACGAGCGGTGGTGGGCCGACCCCTGTCGCACCAACTGCATAATTATTTTAAAGCAAATGTATTTTCTACCGCAGAACGATTTATAGACTTCAATTCAATCATAATTTCGGTTAACGGCCTCATTAGAGCGGAGGCGGCGCGAGTGCGCGGTGCAGGTAATAAAATGCCCCATAAAACGTAAAACGCGCTGAAGGCTCCACGCAAGGATACGTCAGTTACCATGGTAACAATAATATTTAGATACATATTGATAATCATTAATCATATTTTGCTATCGAGTATATTTTGCATACATATTGCTCCTGTTGCCATCCTATTTTCTATCAAATGCGACAAGAGACTTTGACGCCCAAGTGACGATCCTTCAAACAAAGTAAATATTTGCATAACGTGTTTACAAAGCGTAATACATTACAGCGGATGTTATAGTTTCTTATGTGTGTACGGTGCACTAAAAAGTCAACAAAACTAGGAGAAGCGGCGGCGCGCCCCGGGTGCACTCTGCAAGACGCGGCGCGCACAATACAATCCACGTTCACGCGCCAAGTAACGTAATCTTTTGTTAAGCAAGCGGAGTAAAAACCGCCATATATGTATATAGTAATCTCTTGAAATAGGAAAACCATTTTTAATGTATCACACGCACACACCGAAACACATCGGTGCTGCGCACCATCACACTCCTCAACACCATTCTCGAGGATGAGATTGGATGTCTGATGAGTGAATGTAGGAAAATATTTGAACAAATGATGCCTGTAAGTTCAGTTCTGTGAAATGTATTATGTTTATTTTATTTAATTTTAAATTTTTATTTTCGTTGTTTCTGTGTTTGTAGCGATTTGGACTTTTGTCTGTTAAGTTACGAATGTTAAATGAATAAATAAAATGAATGCAGGTCGTTTGGCAAGTCTCGCAAAAAAGGAGTAAATTATTAATCGGCTGTACCGTTACCGCTCCGGGAAAGTCAAAATATTTGATTTGAATGGCACGACCGAGCGATTCCGACGTCACGCGACGCGACAGACGGGCGTGCAAATCGTAAATTACGGGTTTGACTGTTGTCAATCCGTGCAAATGCAAAATTCATACGAGCGTGCGAATCTGTATTTGTTTTCTTCATAAAAGCGATACCGTGTGTTTGAGTAAACATCCATGATTGGTGATATCTTCCTTTGTGGAAGAGTTTGGGCACGACGAGCAATGGACTGTGTTGGAGTATCACAATCACATTAGATTAGTGATGCCAGATTAGAGTCCCTGAATGCTCATTTTACCCGTCTTATCGAGTTATGAAAATCGAACTTAGACAAAAGTTGGTAATATTGTTAAACTACAAACATACTCGGGTTCGGAATTCAGGTAGCATGCTGTAAGGTGCAAGCTTATGTTTGATGTTCGTCGCTACGCGTACTCACCATCTTGGCGAGCATGGAGTCCATTTGCGGCTGGTGCGCGGCGGCGAGCAGGCGCCGGATCCGCGCGGCGTTGGCGACGCACTGCGCCATGCAGCGCTGTAGCGCGCCCGCCTGCCGCACGAGCGCCGCGCCCAGCGGCACGGCCTCGCCGTTGCCGCCGCCGCCGCCGCTGCCGTTGCCGCGCAGCACGCTCTCGAGCACGTGTGCGTGCTGCGACACGTAATCGAGGCAGCGCCGCAGCTCCACTGCCTCGCGCCGCTGCCGTTCTGTAATCGGCGGTGTTCTCACTTCATAGGAACTAGAAGGACACTTGAGACCCAGTACATCATTACTAACATTGATGTGCCCTTTTGTACACACAAGAGATAATATTATAAACCCCTATTAGTTATTGCACTATTTCTTAGGTCAGGTGTACATCTTGGAGGCTGGTCTCTGTAAATCTACTTTGGCATCAAACGCAACTTGTTTGTGTACCTACCATATTTAACTTTATTGCAAAGGTGGAGTAGAATTTAAATGTCCATTACCTACTGTAATAAAACGGTAAATTGCATCTATACAGATTTTTTCTAAAGTCAAGTGAGTAATAAATGTAGCAAATATATAAAAAAAAACACTCTGAATAAGTGAAATACTAATGATTAAATATTGTGAAAAACTTTGGTGGGCGTAATCAGTGATGTGCACAATGACTTTCTATGTATATGTGACTCAGATTTAATAATTCAATAATAACAACACTCACATTACATCTTAATATAATTTTATTTCCTATACATATTTTCAAAGCAAGTCTACATGATAATACTTATTTTATAAAATAGATCTAACTAATTTTATATAATAGGTAAGCAAAGCTAGCTAGGTTTGTAATAAAACATAAAAAAGCTTTTATTCCACATGGTCATTATAACATCTCTTAATAAATTAAGTACATTCGACTTTGTTAGAAATTATACTTTATTTAAATACACACATCAAAATTATTACAATTAGAGTACACTAAAAACCTTGCTGATAACCAAGATCTAATAGTGCCCTATATCAAGTCATACACATGCCACTGTTGTGCACTGGTCTCTCATAGGAGTGTTTATTACAGTCTATTCTGGTGGGTATTATGGTTAATAGCCCAATCTATGTGTATAGATAAGAATAATAGTATAAATGGATAAAATAAAAAATATTTATGATTAACAATTTTTATTTTGAAAATTGCAAATGAATTTAGTAAATATTACTTTTCAAAGAGGGTAGGTACTTACACAAATATACTGGTAGGTACTTTAAAATTAATAAAAAGCATAATGTTACCTGTACTGTCTTTAAATTTTTCATAGAGCATTCTGCATCAAAGTGATTGATATCAGTATTTTTGTAGTTTAACTAAACAGCATGTTATCCAGAAACCTTACAAAAACCAATACAGGTGTGGAGTACATTATTTACCGTGGAAATCGATGATTCTCTGTGTTCTCCTTAGGTACTTTTCCTCCTGCAGCTGCCGCTCTACCTGGGCCTGTTTCTCCCGCGCCTCTATAACGTCCAGAATGGAGGAAAATAAAGATTTTCTCTCGTTTGTGTTTGTAACGGTTTCTTGCATTATGATAACAGAAAATTTGGCCTATCTAAGAATATGGAGCAGAAGGAATTGTTTACGTGATAAACTCTACAAAGTGCTACAAGTCCGTGCAGAAAACAAAAAAGGAAAACTAAATTTTACTACAAAATAAACTGAAATTAAATTCAAAATCACGCACAACCTCTCCTGTCAACACACAAACGTCAACTGAATTCATAGACAAAAGAAAGTTTGTTATCATGATTTTCATAGACTATATTGCGTTCCGTTTCACGATAATTATTTTCATTGAGCTGTCAATCATATTATTGCTTTCTCTTTCTTCTTAACCTTTAATCATATATTCTATCTTGCTGTCATTTCGTAATGTAATGAAACGTAAATTTTGTTCTCTATTCCTAAAAAAATCAGACGTTGGTTGATTTGTGGTTTCTGATTTGCAACATCATTGTAGAAGAGTTGTTGGACAACATAGATAACCTCCTAATAAAAGCCGCCTGTTGAAAATTTGTACTGAACCGAGCTCACCAAATTCGGCGGAAAGCAAGTGACGCGGCTCAACTGTACATTACCATCGCACGAGTTGAGAGTTGAAATTAATATGGTGAATAGATTACATAGTTAGCAGTCTAATCCTAAAATATTAGCTTTAGGAAAGTCGTAGTTTTGATAATAAAAATTATTTAAATATTCGAAAATAAGTGATAGGAAACAGGTTTTGTAGGTTAGGAAAGCACAGCGTTTGGTTGTTGCAGTATTTTTTTTGAAATAACGCAAAAAAATAAACATTTGCGTAAAAAAAAAAATATTTTTTTTTAATTTTTTTCGAAAATGTTTATTTTTTTGCGATATTTCAAAAATTTTTCGCAGTATTGAATTAAACAGCACAAATTAATACGTAATTGTAAATTTAACATAGAAATTTACTATAATTAGTATGTAAGCTTTTATTTTTGAACAATTATTTTTTGTTGCAAAAAAATAACGAAACGCGAAAAGAACGCCATGTTGTTTGTTGTTGTTTACTGTTTGATGTATGCATCAATTAGGATTTTGCGTTTTTGCCTGGTTTTAAGTTAAATTTAGTTTCTCATATAACACAGGAAGTGGGGAGGGGTTTGGGGGTGGCTTTTTCCCACTAGGGGGAGGGGTTTACCCCGCTCTTTGGTGCGAAAACACGATTTTTTGAGGTTATTTTTTTCGAATTTTCAAAAATTAATATCTCGAAAACTATTAACTTCCTAACTTTGAAACTTTGCACGAAGGGTCCCCCCCTTCCCCCCATCCCCTCCCACACCACAAATCGTGCGATGGTAATGTACAGTCCTTCCAGTGACGCGGTAAATGCAATTAAGACGTTCTGATTCGCTAGTTCAAGGTCGAACTAGAAATGCACTCAAATTGCACTTACAGCTAGTGATGGGCAACCTTTACCAGTCTGCATCCAATTAGTCAATAAAAACGATAATATTGTGACACAAATTATTAAATTCTTTTTTTTTTTTTTTTTATTATGACTCGGAAAAATGACTGCACCGCGCCTGATGGAAAGTGCGAATACAGTCCAGAGATGAGAGTAACGGATGGAAAACACAAATATCTTCACTCCGTCACTATTATATTGCCGGTCTGGCCAAATGCTTCTTCACACTACGTTTGAAGGACCCGATGTTATAGAGGGGAGGGAATACATGCGCTGGGAGTTGGTTCCACAATTTGATGGTTCGGCATAAAAACGAATTGCCAAACTTTTTAGTGCGGGACGGTATTCAACTGACCGTCCAAATGTGGCAACGCAGTCCGGCACGGGTGGTCCGCTGATGGAAAGGAGAGGAAGGGATAAGGTTGAATAACTCTTCAGAGCACTCACCGTGGTACAGGCGATAGAATACGCTAAGAGACGCTATATCTCTGCGAAGCTGGATGCTTGTCTGGGAGCAAAAGAAAAGCATAGAATGTATCAGCTGCTTATGATTCCGCGCAAATCGTAAAAGCCGTCTGAGGGCCTGGGTTTAATGGTGTCCTATATGTAGGAGACATGCTGGCAACATGTCACTATTTAGTGCATTAAGTTATACTAAAATTTTAATAAAAATGTTTGCTAAACGTGGCTAAAGCGGGCTTGTCTTACTCAAAGCTCTGCCTACCCTTATGAGAGACAGGCGTAACGGTAGTATGTATGTAAATTATTAAATGACGACACAGGAAAAAAGGAATTGTAAAAAAACAAGGTACTTAAGTATTATAAGTTGTCGTATTTACAAAAGAAAGAAAAATTAAAACACGTTTCTCTTCCTTATACGTCCATGAAAAATTTTCTTGACGCACAACAAAATACGAAATATTCGAAAAAATTAAAAATAACATGCATAAATCAATATTACCCCACAGAGACTGAAACATCCTCCACACCATGGCGCTAGAAACCAATCGCCAAAATCATAACTTAAAAAACACATATCGAGTTCTTAGGTTTTCGCGATTGTTACACATAGGAAATGAAACTATTATTCCGGATTTAAATCGCGTATATTTGTTTTTTCAAACAAACCGACGTTTCGGGCCCTTTACAGGTCCCATGGTCACGGTTGACTGTGTCAAAGGGCCCGAAACGTCGGTTTGTTTAAAAAACACATTTCTAACTAAACAATAATATTAAACAACAAATTTTTCTGGCGCCTTCACCAGACGACCAGAACGTGTGACCACTGGTAAGGGAATGTTTGAGTTGAACTGTAAGTCTTAGCATGGGCATGCATTGCTCTCTTTTATCAATGCGGATACATCTGCACAGGGCAGCTCGAGGTTGTACAAAGATCGCAAAGCTCGTAGGCGTTCACCAGTTGCGGTCATTATTCGGGCAACTCTATTGTGACCGTCAACACCGTCCCAATACTTCTATCCCCAACCCGAGAGGCCACTCTACACGCTTCTCATCGTTAACTTCAACAAGAACCGTAACCGGAACATGTTTCCCCGATGTTCGTTTTTCCACTAAAAGCGCTAAATATTCACTCCGAAACTTAGTGCTAACTTTTAGTGCTAACATAAACTCTTCGGTAGTACACAGTTCTAAGTTATGGCACGATACACCGCACAGGTAAACAGGGCTATCCAACATTTTTCGCCCGAACGCAATTTCAAAGGGCCTGCGAAATCAACCCCGGTCACTTCAAAAAGAATACCACAACTTACGCGATCTGCTGGTAAAAGAGAAACGGTAGCATTGCATGATTTGGCATTAAGCCGTCTACAAATTATACAGCTCTTTATAACACGTCTGACAAGCGTTCTACATCCTAAAATCCAATAACGCTCTCGAAGCTAAGCTGTCAATGTTTGAAGTTCTCAAATATTGATAGCTATAACTACTTAATATTAATAAGTATAGCATGAAGATATTCTTTATGTTTTTGCTCTACGAGCCGCTCAACTTTTGGACATTTTCGTAGCAAAATAGGGTAAACAAACTCTTCCGTATCACCAATGAGCTCCAACCGAGTTTTATTCATTCATTAATGTGTAATGCCTTTTATCGCATGCTACACACTTAGGGCTTCCTTGGCAAAGTTTTGCTGTGTGGCCCTTTTTAAGACAAATAAAGCAAATTCGGCTCTTCTTCAAAAAATCAGTACGTTCTTCTAAATTCATTTTCATAGCGATTCTGCACTCTGAACTAGTATGAAAATCCTTATCACACCATATAAAACGAATCTCTTTTTAAATTCTTTTACGCTGTCATTAACCTTATCTTCTTTTTTGACAGTTGATGTCAAACAGGCTGCTGTGGGATTACTAGAAGTTCCTATCAAACCGAAGTGAGCCAACTGTATTCTTTCCTCAGACTCAACTTCCAATCTTGCGAACTCCAACAATTTTGGGAGTGGTTTATCTCCTTTCCTTTTGACACCATGGAACTTATTCCATGCTCTTAAAATTTCGTCTGGCAATGCTGATTCTACGAGTGGGAATAAAAATGTTGCATACATGTCTTGCGTTAAGCTCATCGACTCCAAAGCTATAATTTGGGTCATAATTTTGTCATACAAAGCTCTCGTAGACAGTTTAATAGTGTTCTTTGAAATTACTAACTGAAGTAACTGTCTAACGTAATAGTCAAAGCGGTCCTTTAGTTGCTTAATAGCTTTTTGGTAATTCTGACCTGAAGGGAAACTTTCAATAAATTCTCTGGCACTTGTGCTTTTCTCCATGGCCTGCAGCAGATAATGCATTTTGTTCTTAAATTGGGACCAGAAACCTACCCAATTTTTAATTTCTCCATCAAAATTCGGTAACTGGAATTTTGGTAAACGAAATCGATGAAAATTTGACGAGACCGAATGAGCAGTTTCAACATCTTTAAAGATCCTTGAGAAGAGACTCTTTTGGGAGATGGTGTAATGTAATTTAACAATCCTGTCGCTCTTTGGCATAATTCAAACCATCTTGAGTCATACTCATTGGTAGCTTCCAAATCTATTTCAAATTCTCTTTCATCTCTTTTTTCGTCATCTAAATACGCTGTCAAAATTGCCTTTTTTTTGCTTTCATTAAATTAATTCTACGTTGTGATAACTTTTCCAGAAAACTACTAACCTTTGATGGAATTTTTCTTTCTATAGCATCCTCCAATTGTGTAGCGCACATTGTGAATAGTATTCTTGCTACTGTTCTTTCGGCTTTTGCGCGCTCCATTGTCACGGTCGTTGTAGTGGTTTTAGGGTCCGAGTCAAACGACATCTTAGGAATGACTGACGTTTATTGAGATACCTTCAATAACCGAACATTAATATAAATAATATTAAAGACTTAATACTACCTACTACATCTCCCTCCTTAAACTAAGTTACAAAATCGGAATTTACTGCTACATCTCCCTCTTTACTCTAATTTACAAAATCGGAATATAATGCTACATCTCCCTCTTTGCAATAAGTTACAAGATAGTAATCTAATATACTTTACATATATATGGCTAAATACAAACTAGACATTGATTAAAATTAACGATTTATTTTACACATTAAGAAGAAGAAGAAGAAAAAACTACTTTAAAGAAAAAAAAACTATTTTAACTTTTAGAATTTTTCAAATTTATTCACTTAAAGGAGATATATACACCTAAAGAAAAACTTATTATTATACATTATGAAGGTTAATGACTATAAAAGATGGGCTGGCGCACAATTCTGCCACTGCGTGACTTTATTACATTTTGTGTTTCTGCGGGATTCGAACCCGCGTCACGCTGTAACTCCTGCCGCTGATTTGAAACCGAGCTACTGACATGTTCCCAGTCAATGTTTGAGGGATGGTAGGTAGATCTATGGACAGGTGGCGCTGCCACTGGTACCTCGTTATCAATACCTTTAGTACTGGTACCTTTAGGTATTTTTAACAGATGTTGACGATTACGGCGAAAAACTCCTCCATTTTCCGTTTCCACCCAATAGGAACGATTACCTCTAGCCCTATTGATTATTTTTGAATTTATCCACACATTTTTGTTTCTCATTTTTACTGTATCATTTGGATTCAAACTTCCCAGGTTTCGCGTTCCTTTGTCGTAACTTTCCTTGTATTTATGTATTCTTTTCTCTCTATCGACTATTACCGTTTGTTTGTTTGCTGTTTTTGGTTGAAGATTTTTAACGTAAACTGGCAATCTAGTGGTTTTAGGGTCCGAGTCAAACGACATCTTAGGAATGACTGACGTTTATTGAGATACCTTCAATAACCGAACATTAATATAAATAATATTAAAGACTTAATACTACCTACTACAGTCGTTATTTGTAAAAGTATCTTAAAGGAGTGTTAGGAAGAAAAAATAATAACACATTTTTCTTCCTTATACGTCCATGAAAAATTTTATTGACACACAACAAAAGACGAAATATTCAAAAAATTTTAAAATAACATGCATAAATCAATATTACCCCAAAGAGACTGTAATACAAATCTTCCCAACCCTAGTGTTACACGTTACACGTGTCTTCGACAAAAAGAGCCGCTTAATTGTAAGATCATAATAAAAGTCCTGAAAAGACCTGTCAGAAAGACATTAACGAGAAATCAGTTTCCTTCGTAATTTTTTAGTGTTAGCCATTTTAATTTGACCTGTGACAACCTTGTAAATAACGTAGTTATAACTTACCAGTGAGACTTGATTTCATCTTTTTGAAAGTTTGAGGTCCTGGATGTGTTGTTTTCCACGCCATTTCACGGCACAAATAGCCATTTTTATAGTTCGTTTCACAAAAACCAGCGTAACAATACAGGAATATCAGGAGATGCGCACGGGTCTGATACTTGGTCGTAACTAAGTGATGAATTTTTGCAAAATTTTATGTATGATCAATTGCACGGATGTGTGGTGCGCGTCAGTTGCCCTGTATGCGGCATCTATTAGGACGTTATCTATGTTGGACAATAACAAGAGATGGATGGAAGTCGAAAGAGGCAAACACATACCGCGAAAAGCCAAGAGAAAAAAAAAAAAAAACGTCATTGTATTTGTGATATGAAAACGTATTGATGAGAATTGAAAATTGAAGTGAACTTCGAATGGTTAGCGGCTGTCAAGCAGTTTTATTAAAAAATAGTGTATTTTTACAATATTATAGACACAATTATGGCTCGTGAAAGTAGCGCTGGTTTCGATAGACACATTACTATCTTTTCTCCGGAAGGAAGACTTTACCAAGTGGGTAAGTTGCCGTAATTTGCGATATCATTAGTCACGTTACAAAGAGATTTTCAAAGCAACTTGTAAGTTCCAAGTCCTCACTAGTTCATCGTTGTCTACCTTTAAGCAAAGTTTACTTATTCTAGAAGTTCACATGAACAGAAAATAAACGAAAGATTTATAACCTAGTATGTAACTTCAAAGCGTATGACTTAGCATTATTTAGGTAATTGTTTGGGGTGACTTAAAGGGCGCATTGAGTAAAGAAGACGTAAGGAAATTAAAGTTGCTGGCTGATCCCAAAGTGTGCAATATTCGCACTATATTTTGCTATAGATTGCAGTATGTCATTAGACTGAGTAGCGAAAGATGGACAAGACGGACAGGACGGACAAGAGGTTTTCTAGGTTCTATGATTTATTCAAATTACTTTATGATCTATGTTTTCCAATAGTCAAAGTGAAATTTAGGACAGAAGTGCGACCAAAATGGCTCTCTAGGGGCATTAAAAAATGTAGTAAGCGTAAACAATCACTTCTGTGGCGATATAGATTAACAAGTTGCTCCAATAAGCAAATATTTAAATTATATTCAAAAAGATACAGCCATATAATTAAGTTAATTCAAAAATTGCAAAACAATCATTACATATGTACATCGACAAACAAATCAAAGGCAACATGGGATATCATCAATAATAACAAGCAGATAAATTCAAAGGCAATAGTAAATAAAATCATAGTGAATGGAATATGCATCACAGATCCAAAAAGCATAGCTCAAAAGTTTAATGATAATTTCATTGACCAGGTAAAGGCACTTAAGCCTTATAGAACAGTGTTTAAAAACATGTGCAATTTCAATTCCCCCAAATCTTTTTTTATGAAACCCACTGATCACTTTGAAAAATGTCAAATCATTAGAAATGTAAAAAATACTTGTAGTACTGGTGAAGATGAAATATCCACAAAAGTGTTAAAGTATGTATGTGATATTATTTCCCCTCCTTTAAGCTACATTATAAATCAATGCTTTGAACAAGGGATATTCCCAAGAGAGTTAAAAACGACAGTAATAAAACCTCTCTACAAAAAGGTGATAATGGCGAATTAGGAAATTAGGCCAGTTGCTTTAATTCCAGTAATGTCCAAGATTTTCGAAAGAGTAATATTTAATAACCTATACTCATATCTATAAAAAAATAATATATTGATAGACCAACAGAAAGGCTTCCGTAAGAATAATTCCATCAATTTGGCTATCTACAAATTTCGTGATAAAATATATTCTAGGATGGACAGAGGTCAGCCCGTTTCATCATTATACATGGATCTAACCAAGGCATTTGATTATGTAAATCATAACACGCTTTTGCATAAATTGTGGGTATTCAGTGTAAGAGGCAATGCCCAGGAACTAATAAAATCCTACCTTACAAATAGACTTCAGTCAACACACATTAATAAAGTATGTCCCGTATCGAAAATTGAGTAGTTTTATGTTTCCTAATATACATAAATTACATTCCTAAATCAATTAACCACCCTACGATATTGTTTGCGGATGATTATACGGTAATTTATGACAATGAAACAAATATAAATACAAGTTTGAACTCTATTCTTGAATGGCTTAAATATAATGATCTATTAAATTTTTATTGAATTGATATTCAATTATTTTTTGTGAAATTACTCCACTAGTTTGTTATAATTATTAATGCAAAGATCGAACACTCAGAAAAAACTCTCAGAAAAATTCCTTCGATCCGGTCGGATTCGAACCGAAGTCTTCTTGCATACCGTGCCAGACGCTATACCAACTAAGCCACGGAACGAACCAACGGACCTCACGAATTCTTCTATGTGCTTGCGTCGTGTCTTTGTACTTGGTCTTTCAACGACCTTTTAGTCGTAGCGCCATCTATGAAAAATCTATTGCAGATTTATCACCCAGTTAGTACCTTTACAGCTACCAGTCCTGGCGAGAGATGTCGCTATTCACTGTATTAATTAAATTTTCATTGAATTGAAGACGTCGGTTCGAATCTGACCGGATCAAAGGAATTTTTTCTGAGTGTTCGATCTTTGTATTAATAATTATAATGATCTAGTTATAAATCTTGACAAAACTAAAGTTATGAACTTTAAGCAAAGATACAATAAACCTATGCAAATAAGAGCGGTCTATGAAAGCAAGGAGGTCGGTGAAACAATGAAAGTTCTTAGGTTTATATATAGATAAATCTAAAATGGCAAACACACCTAGAATATGTATGTGATAAGATCCTAAAGTTTTCTTATGCTTTGTTTAGGCTATCGAACATAGTAAATTTAAACGCTCTAGTGACCGCCTACCATGGTTATGTAGCAACCAACCTTAGGTATGGAATCATTTTTTGGGGAAATGCACCGCACATTGAATGCACATTCAAAGCCCAAAAGAGATGTATTCGGGCTGTATGCGGCTTGAAAAAAACAGATAGCTGTCAACCACATGTTAAAAATTTGAAAATACTGACTCTATCATGCTTATATATATTTGAAATTTCACTTTTCGTAAAGCGTCATCTTCATTTATTTGAGAATTCGTCACACGAGCCCACCGTTCTCATCAACTGAAAAGTAGATCATGTAAAACTGCTCTACTTCAAAAGAGTGTAATAGTAATGGCTACGAAGGTATATTACAAACTTCCACTTGAAATTAGGAATTGCAACGATTGTGCAGAATTTAAGAAATTATTATTTAATTACCTAAATGATAGGACATTCTATAATATTGAAGATTTCTTATAAAATTTACATTTCATATTATTAAATTTGTTATCGATTATTTTACTATTGTTATTATGTTTCATTAGTATGAGGTTGCATTAATTGGACTGCATGATTATAATATTGTTACAAATTATTGCATGAGAATTACTAAAACTAAGAAAACTTTAAGAAATCGTAGTTTAAAATTTTGTTTCTACACTTAATTTGCATGGGGTAGCTTGTTAAGTCCTACTTTTGACATTTTGACTTATCCAAGAATTGCAACATTTTTGAGACAAGGTGTCTAGCATAAGCATATAACTCTATGATGTTGCAGAGTATGCACTGAAGGCTATAAACCAAGGTGGGTTGACATCGGTAGCGCTACGCGGCGTGGACGCGGCTGTGGTAGCGGCGCAGCGCAAGGTGCCGGACCGGCTGCTAGACCCTGCATCTGTTTCACATCTTTTTCGCCTTACTGACCGAATTGGATGCGTCATGACTGGCATGATTGGTAATCTTGTTATTTTACTCTTTTTGAGCCCAATCGTAACAAAAATAAGCTTATTGCGACTGCCTCTGGCCGAACGGTTACCATAGCTGGACTGCCATGCAGAGGTCCCAGGTTTGATTCCCGGGCTGGGAGAAATATTTGTATTGCCTAAATTTAATTCTCTCGTGAGTTTAGGGTGTTACTTGTGGTTGTCTATGCGTGTGTCCATAGCACCCGCGAAACAGGGGGTCCCTAGTACAATATTTCATTGTTTTTTTTATCCGAGATTTTTGTGTATATTTTTTACTATGTGTTTGTGTGTGTGTGTGTGTGTGTGTGTCTGTGTGTAATATGTTATATATAATTATAATAGCAATACAACAGACAGTGAGCATACACTTCATGAGAACATATGTTACGTAGAACTTTATGAGTAATGTTTCACTGCTCAGGTGTATATCAAGTAAATAATATTTTCAGCCGACAGTAAGTCGCAAGTGCAGCGCGCGCGCTACGAGGCGGCCAACTGGACGTATAAGTACGGCAGCGACATTCCGGCGCACATCCTATGCCGGCGCATCGCTGACATCTCGCAGGTGTACACGCAGAACGCAGAGATGCGCCCGCTGGGATGCAGCATGATGCTGGTGGCCTTCGACGACGAGGCGGGTCCCTCCGTATACAAGACGGACCCCTCTGGTTACTACTGCTCGTATAAGGCGGTAGCGGCAGGCGCCAAAGCCACCGATGCTAATGCTTATCTCGAGAAGAAGCTCAAAAAGCGTGCCGATCTGTCGGCCGATGACGCTGTGCAACTGGCCATCTCGTGCCTCTCGCAAGTGCTGTCCGTGGACTTCAAGTCCTCCGAGATCGAAGTCGGCATTGTATCCAAGGAAAACCCCAATTTCCAGTCAGTATTCAATTTGACAGTTTTAAGTTTTAAATTTTTTTATTCAATTGATATTCAATTATTTTTTGTGAAATTACTCCACTATTTTGTTATAATTATTAATGCAAAGATCGAACACTCGGAAAAAATTCCTTCGATCCGGCCGGATTCGAACCGACGGTTCGTTCTAGCTTACCGTGGCAGACGCTATACCAACTAAGCCACGGAACGAACCAGTGGACCTCGCGAATTTTTCTATGTGTTTGCGTCGCGTCTTTGTATTTGTTTTTTCAACGATTTTTTATAGTCGTAGCGTCATCTATAATAGTAGTAGTTTTAACTTTAGTCGTAATTTTGACCACTCGTCATCTAGTTCGTAATAATATTTTTTTCGGTTCCAGCGTGTTAACGGAGGGCGAAATCGACAGGCATCTCACCGCCATAGCCGAGAAGGATTAAAGGGGGCTGGTTGAATCGATAACTTGTCATTCGTATTCTACTTTTAATAAACGTTTTACTGCTAAAACTTAAGGCTACTTTCATTTGGAACCCTCCCGCCCCACCGCGCTAGAACTACGCGTAAGAGTCCACGAGCATGCCGGCGTCGCCGGCCGGCACGTCGGCCAGGGCGCGCCGCGGCATCTCGGCGACGACGGCCGCGAAGTCGTGCACGGGGCAGCAGAACACGAGCCCCTGCGCGGGCACCTCGTAGTTGCGGTTCTCGCGCAGGTCGCGCAGCCACGCGGCGCGGCCGCAGGCGCTCTCGCAGAAGACGCGCTCGCGGATCTCGCTGACGGCCACGAAGGGGTCGTTGAGCAGCACCAGCGCCAGCGCGCGCCGGGCGGCGGCGTCGTGCACCACCGTCCACACGTACTGCGGCACCGGGAAGCGGCCGGGCTTGAGGAACAGCGGCCGGCGGGCGGCGCCGGCGCGCAGCGACAGCACGCCGTGCGTGCCCGCGTACACGTCCAGCGCCCGCGGCGGCGCCGCGCGCAGCAGCCGCGCCACGTCGCGCTGCAGGTGGCGCAGGTTGCCGGCCGCCACGCCGCGCCACGCCAGCACGGCGCCGGCCTCGAAGCCGGCGGCGCGCGCGCTCTGGCCGTCGAAGTAGCGCGGCGCCAGCAGCGGCGCCGCCGTCAGCGCCTGCGCCGCCAGCGCCACGCGCTCGGGCCGCAGCAGCCCGCGCAGGCGCCGCTCCAGGCGCGCGTCGTCCGAGAACAGGCGCCGCGCGTCGGCGCGCAGCCGCGCGTCGAACAGCTGCTGCAAGTTGCCCAGCAGGCTGAGCGGCGCGCGCGCCTCGCTGTGCGGCGGCAGCGCCAGGCCGGCCGGCGCGTTGCCGGCGCGCGCGAAGGCGGCCACGGCGCGGTCGGCGTCGAAGCACAGCGTGGCCAGGTGCCGCGGCGCGCCCGAGC